ACGAGCCTAGCACAAACAAATAATTTTGACGCCGGCTCATATATATACACATACATACACATTTTTTTTAGACATACATACATACATACATACATACATATATATATATATATGTATGTATAGGGGCATGAGCGAACAGTACCGATGTCCGTCGGGCTCCAGAGTTTAGAGCTTTTCGGGTTTGGCGCTTGGGCATTACATAATTTAGGGTACAGAGTTTCAGGGATTTTAGGGTTTCAGTAGGGTTGAGATCGGATCGTCGAAGTTTCAGGGTTTGGGGCTTATAGTTTTTTCCGTTTCAGGGTTGGGCGTAGGGGGTTGGAGTGTTTTGAAGCATCAATGATTGTCTGGAGTTTCTAGGCAAGCCGCTTTGTTTTGGGGCTCGTCAACCCAAGTCCGCATCAGGGACCGCAGAATCGCAGCAGGTGGCGATAGCTCGAGGCCTCGAATCCTCGTTTGAGACTTTGCTAGGGGCGTACGTGCTCGTGTCGATCACCCTGGTTCTCTTCAACTGTAAGCCCGCAACACCAAACACCAAGTCGCAATGAAATGGAACATCCCAAAGTTAAAGAAGTGTTGCCTCTTTCAGAACTTTTCCGATCTAGAACAAACAGGCAGTTTTTCTCAGGAGCAACGATTACGGAGCAGTGTGCAGGGACCTTTTCGCCAACATCAAGACATACAGACATACTCTACACTCACGCCCCCAACCCCCCAACCCCTGCATCCTAACGCCCCAACCGACGAATGAGGTCGTCTTTACTCAGAGATCGGATTTCGCTTGACACTGGCCCCGAGAACTGGTCGTTGCATCCTCAGCTTTTTGGTTTGTCCCTGTATTTAGGTAGATGTGTGAGTGAGAGCGCATATGTACATGCCTATGTGTACGAGCATGTAGATGTACATGCTCATGTGTGCATATATGCACACATCGAATTTTGCATGTATACCTATACACACGCAAGCCTCTGACGTCAGCCTAGAGGCACGACTAAATCAAGTACTGACATTCCAGGTCCAGCTGAGACTGTTTTCATTACTGAAAACTGTGATTCCCGATCGGTAGCGGTTCATTCACACTGCCATAATCATATCACCACTGGCAAGCCTCCGCCGATAACTTGCAAGCACGAAGTGTTTTGTGATGCCAGTCTTATGAAGACATGGGGTCAGGAGTTTGTACCCAAGATGGAAGTCCTTACGCAGAACATGGCCGGCAACTAACTATGTCGTGCATGCTGCATGAGTAAATGATGGTGGCCCGCCCATCGTCTTCCAAGGACTTCAGACGTAGCACGACACCCCAAAGGAATTGCGCACTTCTCGAGTCCCTCGTAATGATCGCACAGGGTTGGTTCGATTCGACCACATACCGAGTACCCCTAAACCCTGAGCTCCCAAACGTAAGCTGGTACACTCTGAAGCATGGCATGGGATCCTTTCCTGATTTCCCTACCTTTCGGAGCCGTTAGCAGAATGTATTCCTACAGGCACCGGCGATCCGCGACTGTTGACATCTTCTGCGACAGCTTTCGTCTACACGAGGCATCCGCACTGCTGCACGCTGCGCTAGCTCAAAAATATCTTCGGACATCCTGTGACTTGACTGGCCCCGAAAATCCTGTGAGCTCCACTTGAGCAAACGTAGCAGCCTGGCATCAAGCCCCGCACCCCAAAATCTCTTTGCTCTGCCTCCTAGCAGCTAGCAAAAATATGAGCATTTCAACCAATTATTATACATAATATTTAGTCATTGATAATATTTAGTCATTAATAAGATTTAGTCATTGATAATATTTAGTCATTGATAATATTTAGTCATTGATAATACTTAGTCATTGTTAATATTTAGTCACTGATAAGGTTTAGTCATTCATAACATTTAGTCATTGATAATATTTAGTCATTGATAACATTTAGTCATTGATAATGTTTAGTCATTAATAATATTTAGTCATTGATAATATTT